CATTGTATTGGGCTAAGTTTGAAGTTTATAAATATTCAAAGGTTTATTTAGGATGTGAATAGCATAGCTAGTCAGAGCTTTGATCTCTTTGATTAACAAACTAAAAATGGTTGTCGTGATCAAGCAAAGTTAGTGTGATTATTCTCAAGGAGTAAGAAATTGTTAGTATTCACTCGCCACTAGTTAAGAATACCAAAAAAAAATCAATATGAAACCTTATTTCCGTTGAGAAAAAATAAAACAACGCATAGAAAAAAAAGAGAAATACACTAACAACACAATGACATAGTGTGAAAAAAATTATGATTGTTGTCAATAGACAATCAAAAAATAATATTATATGAAAATTATTATAATATATAATATACTCTCAACTAACCTAGACTCCAATACATTTACATCCTCTAAAATAAATATTTAACTATATATCAGAACACTCTAATATAAGAGTATAAGAGAGCAAAGAAAGTCAAATACAAGTTTAAAATGTTTTTGACTAGTACATCTTATAACGAAGAACTTGAATTATATATATATATATATATATATATATATATATATATATATATATATATATATATATATATATATAGCTCTGGACTCCTTCTTCCTTCATAAAACTAAGTGATGTGGGACTTCAAAGAACTTGTATCATATATAGTCTTGAATTTCCTCGTCATTCACAAAATTAAGCAATATGAGCAAGGACGGATTCAGACATTATATATTAGTGTGGCTAAACATGAAAAAAATTATTAAATTAATTAGATAGAAAAAAATAATAATATTATTTAATGCAAATACATTTATAATGAAAATTGTTCATCAAATATGATAGATTAGCTAATATGAGTGAGAGAGAAATTTGGGAGGTGGTGACAATATTTTAAAAATTGAAATGGACCGGCCAGTCACATCGAAAATCAAAGGGGGGTCATCAATCTAATTTTATTGTTGGCTCGGGTAAGTTATTGAACTAGTGAGAATTGGTAAGAACTGTCCAAAACTTGTAAAAATCGGTGAACCAACGGTTTTGAAAAATTGACGGGTTAAATGCTTGTTTTTTCTCAGACAAGACAAAATAACTTCATTTTGATAATTTATTTTAAAATATAAAATTAAAATATAAGTAAACTTTGTTTAAAACTTATTTGAAATAATTTAGTAGGTGTTGTGATTATTTTTAGGGACTGAGTCATTCCGTTCGACCGATTTAATAACTATATAATTTTGTTATAGAAATCGATTTATTCAACTGAATTATTCGGTTTAATCCGATTTAGTTATGTGATTCGATCAACGATCCAATGATTCGACCAATATATCTTAAAAGAAAGAAAAACATAAAAAAAAAAAGTGAAAGAAAGAAAAATAATTATCTTGAAAGAAGAAAAAATAAAAGATTAGTATATATATTTTAAAAATTTTACATTTTAAAAATTTGGTGTGGCTTTAGCCACACCGTGCCTTAAGGTGTATCCGTCCCTGGAAGTGAGACTTCTTTAACATGTATATTTTTAACCAACCCCAACAATATTAGTCTGGAAGTCCACAATCATATCATAAACTCCCCACCAATTCCAAGTTTATTCATGGATAGTCTCCATTTACAACAACTAAGATGGATAATCAAGTCATGGATGAGGAAAATTCATGAAGTTGACTAACATTCATTTACGGACCTACAAACCCTATGTTTGATGTTGATCCTAACACATTTTCTTCCCTTGACCCGGGCTTGATCAAATCACCTAACAAAGCCAATTTAATCCACTGTCGCGCGCTACTTCTTTGCAAGAAACCATTGTTCTTCAAAGCTTTCACTTGACCGAATCTAAATTGTAAATTGTTGTCACCCAATATTTTTAGTCGATTCACCGTCTCACACCACTCCTTTGCAAGAATCCCCATTCTTCAAAACTTTCACTCAATAGAATATGAATTGCAAAATCTTGTCAAAACCCCCAAATCAACACTTTGATCTTGGTGGAAAACCCTCACAGTTTTTCATGGATGAGCACCCTCAAAGATTCTCAACCTAATTTACAATTCAACAACCTAAATTGGATGTTATCAACTCTGATTCTAGATGACACCCAAATAAAAAAAATGATTATGTGTAATTTGTTTGTGTGCATGCATAGAACATGAGAGATGAAGATGAAGAGAAATCTTTTTATATTTATGGTTTCATCAACTTTCGAATGATGCGTGTATGAGGTATATATATGTGTGCAAGTTTGAGGCAAAAAGGAATGCAAAAAGTTTTTTAAAATTGCAAAGTTTCTGTATTTTTAATGCATTTGTCGACCTTTATATGTCATGTGTTTGACACATTCAAAACATGCGTCGACTTGTATAGGTTAGTGTGTCGATACATGTATTAAAGAGGCTACATGCTTTAAAAATGAGTTACATGTGCCGACACGAAACTTGTATGTGTCGACAAATGGTAGAGTTTTTCTTCTATGTGTTAACCTAAAATGTTGTATGTGCCGAT